AATCCAGATCAGAACCCAGAGGGAGGAGAAGTGAAGGCTAAGCCAGCCTAATGAGCCAAAGTCGCAGATTAAGAGCAGACGGGTAATTAGAACCAGACCTGGAACAGGACGCATCAACCTGCCTGGATCAGATTATGAATAATAATCAGTAGCAGGACATTCAGCCATGAATTACTGACCTTAAGTCCCTCAACAAACTGGTTCTGATTTATAATGGGTAAGGTCTATGTTCTGGGTGATTCTGTGTTTGGTACTGATGATGATGATAATGGTGATGATGGTAGTGATGGCGATGATGGTGGTGATGATGATCATAATGGTAATGATGTGGTGGAAGTAATGGTAATAATGATAGTGGCGGTGATCATGGTGACCATGGGTCTCTATCAGAACTGAGGGATTAATAACAGTGATGAGATCTGGCCACTAATGGCCGTAGGCCGACAGGTAAACAGCCCGGCTGGTTAACTAATGACGCGCCGATCGATGCCGGGCTCCAGGGGGCTGCTGGAATGCTGCTGTAACCATGGCAACTGGAGCCAGCTGTAAATCAGTCGCCCCCGGTGTGAGATCCATCACCTCACCAGTCAGTCTCTTCCAGCGTTCCCCTTAATCAGCGGGTCTGATTCAGCAGGTGTGACGTGTTGGGTATGCTGCAGAGAGGCCGCGGTTCTGGACCTGCTGGAGGAGGAGGAGCTAAACTGGTTCTGATCCATGTTCCTTCAGCGCCTGCACAGTACAAGCAGTAGGACTGTAACCCCCCATGTTTGCGTCAAAGCTGTAGAACCCAATAGTTTCCCTAATGGTCTCGGATCCGATGATGAGCCCCACGTCGTCAGGTTGATGTAATTTGGGTCAGAGTGGCACCAACCAGAACCTCCCTTCTAATCTGGGTTAAGGTTACACCTTCTAACCTGGTCTAGAACCTTCCCAGAACCAGAACCGTCCATCAGGGAAAAGCTTTCAGAACATCTTCCACATGGACCCGACCATCATACCATCTCCAGCAGGGATGATACCGGTGCTGTACCCCGACCCGACCGGGTATTACCTTACAGAACGTTTGTGGGTTCTCTGCCATAGTTGTCTGGAGGAATCTGGACCCACATTGGAGCTTTTCGAACATGATGGGCATCAGACTGGCTTCAGATCAGGATGTTTGCTTTGTTTTGTTAATAAAGGTTTGTTTGGACCCGTGTAACATCAAGGTGTTTTTCTTTAATCAGTAAATGGAAAAAGAGAAAACATCAGCTCTTATAATTAAATATCTGTGATCGCGCAGCTTATATTTTATTTAGTCCAGATTGAATAATTCCACCATTATTCTGCTAGTTTATAGCATTATTAGATTCGCTGATGTTTTTGTTGTGATAAATTCCACAGAAAGTCCTTTTGTTGATCACGGAAAATGTCCCTAATAACTTTCTGCATGAACATTGCTGCTCGTCTCTACCTGTGCAGACCGCTGGGTCCATGACTTCAGAACTCAACAGAACCACGGACAGTTCCACACACTATGAATTAGGATACAGATCACAGCGGACCTATGGAACAGGTGGAAAGCTGTGGGACAGGTGGAACAGGTGAAAAGCTGTGGGACAGGTGGAACGGGTGGAAAGCTGTGGGACAGGTGGAACAGGTGGAAAGCTGTGGGACAGGTGGAAAGTTGTGGAACTGTTGGAACAGTTGAAAAGCTGTGGAACTGTTGGAACAGGTGAAAAGCTGTGGGACAGGTGGAACGGGTGGAAAGCTGTGGAACAGGTGGAAAGCTGTGGAAAGCTGTGGAACAGGTGGAAAGTTGTGGA